TGAATTTAATAACAAAACAAGCCGAAAATAATCCAGAAACATGTAAATATACGAGTAGAGGTCAAAAATACTGCATTGCACTAAACTGCGCTTTGCTACGTTTTGGGTGGGATCAGTAGCAATCAAACTCCGAAATTTTAATTTTGTGCAATTGATTTCGATTCCCAGCGGAAAGTTGGCGCGCAACTCTTTAATTGCGCGAAATTGGCCCACGAGCGCCGCGCTCGTATCAAAGCATGCTCGAATTTTTATTTGATCAAGCGTTCCAGTTCGTGTTTGCGTTCAAATTTCTGTGAAAACAGTCGAATCCGCGCCCGCCTTCTAGTTTGAAGTGGTTGGAGGGATGACGAGCGCGTGTGGTGGTGGTTCGAGGTTCTGTTGAAAGGGTAAAGTGTAATTACAAACTAGCGGGGCGCAGTCGTTTATGCCCGGTGAACATTCGCAAGAATCACAAGTCGCGATTACAATTCATTCAAGCACACACGATGCTCGCGGCGGTGGCAAAGCTTTGTATCAGCACGATATCACTATCATATCATGTTTACACTTGGTTTATTTCCTTAAAATACTTGATTTTAGAGTGAAATTTTGTTAAAAGTGGAAATTAAAATAGAATTTCTGATTTTAGTGGGATTTTTCATTGTTTTTTAATAGTTTTTAATAAAAATCGAAGAAATTTAGATTTTTTTGTTTTAAAAAGTAAGAAATGCTAATAATTCACCAGCGCCATCTATGATTAAATTGTCCAACTATATTTACTATTAAATCTCTATACAAATTTTCAAACCATATTTAACAGCTTGTAAACAGCAATTTCCCATATTTTAATACATATTCTGTTATTTAGGATAAAGACAAATCCAAAAAATCATTTATCATCATAATCTGCCAAACCGTTCTTGAGTTATAAACGCTGTAACTAACAAAACTTTCTTTCACATGTATATAACCGCATTTTCTTTCCTTTTATCTTAAATAAATATGTTATCTTGGTTGCATACTATTCTTTAACCAACTTTATTGACACATTGGCACAAATTAATTTCCTTCCTGAATTACAAATATCGATTTATTTCTTTTGTGATGAAAGTAAAAACATTTGCATATTTATGTTGATTCCTCCAATATTGCGCATGTTTGGCGTTTGCTTTAATATACGTCCGTGTAACTGATGTCGTGTATTGAGCGCTCCGGAAAAAAATAACGCGAAAAACTGAACGCGCAGAATGTGTTGTGCGTTGTTGTATCGATGCATCCATCCATCGACTTCCACCGGATGCGAGATGCGATGCATGAATTTTTTTTTTCGCCAGCGATAACTTAATATGTATGAAGCACGACGACGGCGGTGTATGCCAAAGACACACGCGTGCTTTTTGTTGTGTGGTGCGGGCGAAATCGTTGAATTATGGATTTGCAGGTGAAGTTATTGATCACCGTCCGCCGCGGCGAATTTAGTAAACAATAGCGTCAGAGAAACAATATTCAATGCGTACACGAATAGAATCCTAAGCAAATATAACAAGAAAAACCCAATAACCTAGTTTTAACATGCGTAGAAAGATGTTAGGCAACACAACTCACACTTTGCTGTGGTAAGAGTTGCGTAGTGAGGGATTTATAACCACGTTTAATAGAATAAAACAAATAGATTATTGTAACACTGGTGGCGAATAGAGGAAGCGTACGCGGCCGGCGGATTACGAGGAAATTAGAAAATTAATTAGATCAGATAATTTCACGGGGCGGCTACCTAGATTTTATGCATAAACACGGCGCGGCGGAAAGGAACAAATGTTTATTTCTCATTTCACCTCTGCCGCAGTGCCGAGGCGGTGGCGGCGGGGTTTGAGGCGTGAGTGAAACCGAGCGCGCAACGAATTTCGAACGTGTTTACATATGAACGTTTAAAGTTGTACACACATACGTGTAGCCGCCGCCGCCACCGCCGCGGAAAGTTATGGTTTTGGATTTTAATCCGCGAACACCTGGTTATATAGATTGGGTAAATTTAGCGCTGCCTTGGGGGGCATTTAAATGATATATGTTCGCTGGTATTACGGCACGTTAGAGCTGTGCAGCCACCGCTGCGGAGGCGGGAGAAGCAAACGGTGCGTGGTGTAGTTTTAAACTTTACTTACACGTCGTTTTCCGAGGTTAGCATCCATAGTTGTGTATTATTTCAAAAATAAAAATCATATAATTTATCATTTTTGGTCATCTTACGAAATGTCAATTTTCAAATTTGTAAATGAAATCGAGCGGCAACGAAACAAACCGCGCTTTGCCGCATTCCGGTTCGAAGTTCGAAGCAGTCGAATATGTCGGGCCCCGCCGTGCATGCAATCCGAAGAAGGCCCGGCGCGAGCGAAAAAGGCATGCACGAAGCGAAACCAATCCGAAACGTGAGTTGTTAACGTAAAAAGTCATCGTTTGAGAGCTTGCCGCCGCCGCCGCCGCCGGTGTATTGATGGGTTATTTCCGTGTCACAACGGGCCCCGGCTACGTGGTACGTGCGCATTCTGCACATACATTCCAACATCTCCACTTCTTTACCAGGTTTTTATTCTTTTTCTTACGTGCTGTGTTGTTGCACCTCGCTCGGGGAATTCTTGCGGGATTACTGTCTACCGGTCCAGTGTATGCTGCTGCTGTGTATTCTCTGTGAAAGAGTTTCGTGCGCAGCGTCGATTTTTTATTGAAATATACACCATGGCGTTGACCTTTTCTTGAAGAGGTTGCCTCCAAAGGCCATAGTCATCGTCATCCTCATCATGCGTGCGCATTTTTCACTTGCCCGCCCGCGCACAATACACAATATAGCGGACGAATGATGAATACGCTTTATTATCGAACATCATTGACGTCGCCCGGTGATGGAAATATGAAAACATGAACGCGCGCACACACACACGCCGCACGGTTTTATGATCATCGAAAAATATTATGTTCGCCGCGTAATACATATATTATTAAATAAAAAATATCGAGTGAATAAAAATACGACGATAGTGCGCGCCATCTATAATGTAATAGCTGTCATTCAGGCATTTTTTTCGAGAATTTTTCCAAGCGTTTGCAGCGCATGTTGTTTAAATTTTTGATTCGCCGCTTTGCAGCGTCGCGAGTTCATACGAATTTGATAGCAATAAAACTGAAACGTACTTTCAGTTCTCGGAGGCGAGACGTCGAGCGTTGAAAGTTTTATTAGCCGAAAATGAAAATTTGACGATTGCCAAGGTTCTACTCGGCGAGAAAAAGAACGCCAGACACTAAAATATGCAATTTAGTCGTCTTACACTACAAACACTCCGAACATGATGTCACTGGATGAATAGAGTTGATATTCTGGCAGAAAATGAAAGTTTTCCGGTTTGTATGTTTATAGTGTGAACACTTGGTATGCGAAGAGAATATTTAGGTGCTTTGTGGATACGTTTAGATTTTTTCATGCGTGTATGGTGCGCATGGAGTATATCAGGATCAAGTGCATTTATCCTGTGATTGATTTACGACGCGAGCGACTTTCGGAAAATGAAGACGCCGGATAAATAGATATAAGGCGGTCGGCCGTGGCCCGCTTTCCGCGCATGAATTATTATATCCCGAGCGAATCGGGCATTAAACGCGCTTGCTCAATAGTGCATTGCATAAAATGCTTTGACAGCAGGCAAATTCTACACAAACTTCACTTACATTATGCAAGCGAGTAGATTTCTTTGTTGTGCAATTCAAAACTATTTAAATGCAAAAATTTTATCGTATGCAACCAACTATATATGCTGTTTGTCATAGCAACGCTGTATTATATCTTTTAAATACAGAAAAGCAAGTCGTGTTAGTTACAGCATTTATAACTCAAGAACGGCTGGACAGATTTTGATGATCAATGATTTTTTGGATTTATCACCATCCCGAATAGTAGAATAACTATTAAAATATCAAAAATTATGATATACAAGGTGTTAAATTAAAGATGAAACTATATATAGATTCTATCATAGATATTGTTAAATAATTCAATCATAGATGACGTTAAAGTGCATTATAACCATTTTCATTATTTGGTTCATTATTTTAAAAATAAAATTACGCATTTTACTAATGAATTCGACAAAAACTGAGTCCAAGAAATTATATTTTTTGTAAAACTGGCTAATAAGCTAATATTTCTATAATTTTTTTTTCTTGATAAATTGATACGCAGTAATGATTAATTCCCATTTATATCATTTGAAGACGCAAGCATTCGAGTGAATCAGCGCTTAATTAATAATTATATCTTTAAACGTTCACGCGCACATCTTTGAGGCGAAACTCGACGAAAGCAGCATGACAACTCGCATCTCGGAAATATTAAATTAGTAATTAGTAATTGATGAAAGCGCGTCGGGCAAAATTCAGCGCTATTTTGATTGCGCTCGCGCCGCGTTGTTATAGTAATTAATCCGCTACGGTTTGCCAAGCGAAACCAATGTTGAGCAAGCTACTAATTGAATTCGCAACTATATAAAATTATTATTCATTGAAACCACTGCCAAGAACGCAAAAAAAAAACAAAGAAAATCGTCGATTTGCTATCGATTTCTTTATTTGATGACGTCTGCACACAGAGTGTAGGATCGTGATTAAAGTTGGAGACTGTGACACACGTCACCGACTCCCCAATTAGTCGCCGGGCGACGGCGCGCCGAGCTGTCTCAAAGACAAACTATTATTTCGACTCGGGTGTTACGGGCCTCTCTCGCGCGCGCTCGCTGACATCTTAATAGATATCCGGCCCATGGGAGTCGCGTTTACTTTACCTTCGCCGAACGTCGACTCCACGTAAGTTAAGAACCTTGGCGATGTTGTTAAGAAACACAAATTTTCACAAGCGCACACACCGCCGACAGTAACGTCCTATTAACAAGCTGTTTGTTATTTAGATAGGATACCGGTGGAATTGTCTCTGGTAACAGAGACCTGATAATACATGAATTTGAATTGAAAATTTAAAATTTATAATTTACGTCATTTATTCACACAATGGTCGTAAACGGCGGTAAACGTATGCGTCAATCTTTGCACAATCGGCTAATGAAGCCAAGACCATGCGACACATGCGAATTTGAACGGTCTTCGTGGAAAAGCGGCTGAAATATTCGCGTCTCGCACGAAGATTGCGAGAAGGCGAACAATAGAATTATGGCGCAGCTAACGCGACGCACGACGATTATAAAGGCGAGTAATTTGGCTGCCGCCGCCGCCGCTCGTTCGCACACTCGTTATCGCATCGCGTTTGCTTTGAACTGCGGAAGCGCCTTTTGTACGCCGAGTTCAGATTCAACTACACGCGGCGCGCTTGTATTGAAGAAAGCATCAAGCGTATGCCGCCGCCGCGCGATGTTGAGCCGCCGCCACGACGCTATCTATCATGTATGACTTTCCAGTTTTGATGAATTCAGAACTCTCGCGCGCGCTCTCCCCCTCAGCACCGACTAATTCGCTCGCGATTGTTCAATTCGCTCGCTTTGATTTGCGATCCATTTCTGCGCCGCGCCAAACAAACGCTGAATGTAATCAGATGCGCTCTAATCGTTTGTTTTCGTCGGGTCGGAACGATTGATAACGGAATTTCACCATCCGGATTCACAAGCTTAAATCACACAAACCAGCCAACTCGTTTGCTAATCGTTTGACTGCGCTGTGGTTGAAATGGATTTTCGACGCGTCGTTAATGTGACCCTAATCAAAGATCATTTATTCTCGATTCTCCGCGATTAATTTTTGGATGCGCAAACTTACTCATCTCTTAAACTTAAATTGATAAAAGTATACCTACCGCGCGCAGTTTTAATACGCGCGTCTATTGAAAAGGAAACGCTTTGCTTCACAGGTTGCGTCCCGTGATGCGGGAAATCCGGGCGTTTCCCACGTTCATTCCCATTCATTCGCCAGCGGGCGTCGACAAGAACGAGCACTCCGATTCATTTGTTTGTCCTCATGCCTTATTCACGAATAATCCATAACTAGCTGTTGATAAATTATAGACGCGTTTGTGAAATGGAAGTTCACCAACGATTTTCCGCTAGAACCAAACCAGCTGTGAGAATCATCACATCTTAGGAATATTTGAGATCAATTTAAATCAAAAACCTTATTTAATCCTTTCACGATTCGCGATTTTTGTTCGTTTTACTTTTGGGTTGCTTTGTTTTGTATTTATTATGCATAAACAGAGCTTTTACTGCATCATCATCATCTTCTTTGCGTCAGGGCACCTCGATTAATTACGAATTAATTAATCTTTCGCAATTGAGCGGCGTGCGCAACAAGAAAATTCAATTTTACGCCTTATAAAATTCAAGACGCATTATAAAATCATCAGAGTGCTTTTATGCACGGCATTTCAATACAACTTTTTACTCGGCGTGTAATTAAAGTGGCTGAAAACAAAATTTACAGTTTAAATAAATATGAAACAAACTGTTAATTGAGTACAAGTGTTATCTAATCGTAATACCTAGGGTTTAGATGTTCAACACGAGATTGCAAACCGTCACAAATGAATTTCGTGTTCGTCGAGTCGCGTCAGACGCGATTACGGCAACAAAGTTTAGTTTGCCACGCTGCGCCATGCGATGAATAATATAAATCTGTATAAGTTTGATAAACGCGTGTACATTAGTTAGGTTAACTCACAACAGAATATAAGCAGCGCAAATCTGTAATTTTACAAACATCTTCAACTTAAACAAGCGCCATCTATCGAGTGGTAATTTAAGTAACAAAGATTTGTTACAGAAACTTTGTATTTTATTTTCTTTGTAATATTTTAGTTTAAAACATGCAATATTGCAGCTGCAAAATCGTAAAACAAAATACACAGCATGCAACACCGAAAATTTAAATTTCAATCACCACACCGGAAAACATCAAACACCCCGCTGAAAACTGCTGCATGACATTGTGATACAATATCACAATTGTGGTTATGATAAAAATAAGTTTAGCTGACAATATTGTTAAGTTAAAAGCACAATATGCGCCGAAAATGTATGACGCGCCCACCGGAAGTGAATGTGATTTAAACGCGTTTGATCGTCGCGTTATTGCTTTTCAAACGAGTGTAAATTATTTTATATCGTCCGCGATTTGCGCAAAACGCGACAGGAAGCGCGACACTGTGTTTGCCGCCAGCGATGTGTTATTTTTTCGCTCGTGTAAAAGGATGCGTCGATCCGATAATAACACACGACCGTTATTCCGAATCGCCGATTTCGTGTCAATACAGTTAGTTACATCGGCAAATTTCATGCACGATTCGCTGAATGCGAGTAAATACTCACGAGTTGTGAGACACTTGCAGGTTGTACATTTTTCGTCAAGTTGTGTCTTCTTTTTCTTCTTCTTGTTTTTTTTTTTCGTTGCCCGTTGGAGGCAAACGAGCGCAAAATCGCGAAATGAGGAAAACAAACGTCCTTGCGCTGCGCCGTCCGTTCGGAAAGTTGTCGGATTCGGTGCCGACGTTGTACGATTTGTACGACTTGTAGACCGTTCCCGTAGACGTCGACAGACAATGAATCAGCGTCTTCGGCGGCGGGATGAGGATGAGGGCTCATCAAGGTGTTTACCGAGTGGCGGCGCGTAACGAACGCCGCACGGGCGCCGCTCCCACGTCGTTTCGAGAGTGCTTGGCTTTCGCCTTCCTTCTTTTCGCTGTGCACCCGCACAATGTATATTGTGTGCAGACACACGACCTCTTCAGCGAGTTCTAGTTTGCCAACAAACCAACAACAAGCTCGTAACAAGCAAGAAGAAAAAAAGTTGTACTTCATTCGGTTGCATACGAAATGCAATTCATCAAAATTGATTCAAAAGGGAAACTTTATGATATGCAACCAACATTACACATAGTACACAAGTAATTAACCATAAAACCAACGATTTTATTACAAAAACTTCGTTTTTTAATTGTTATATCAGTAAATTTTGGATAAAATGTTAAAAAAATTCTTTAACTTAAAACAAACTTGATCAAAACTAGTGTTTTTACTGTATACAACCCGTGTCACACATATTACACAAGTAAATAACCTAAAAATCAAAGTTTTATTAATAAAATTTTATTCTTTTGTATTTATAGGAAAAGGTGTTAATAAGATTGTTTAACTTGACACAATTTCACGCCCTGACAAAGGTATGCCATCACTTTCATAATAAAGAATCTGTTACATTGTTGCAGAGTACCCACACAGCACAAAACAAGAAGTAAGGCGAATTTATTTGTTTTCTTCGCGGCGCCTCCACTTTTACTTTGCGGCGTGCGCTCTTATCTCTAAATAGGTTGGTAGGAAACGATTGTAGTGGCAACCCGCTGAGTAATTTCCTCTTCGACTCTTCCCAGCCATCTTGTCTACTACCCGCTCTGAAAATCAAAAAAAGCAAACAACTGCACTGCACATTTCAACGTATTGCGTCTACAATCGCAGCGCATTTACGTCAGAAACGCCATCGTAATCTATTTATTGCAAATTATTTGCCCAGCGCCACATCCCCCTCTCGTTCGATTGGGAATAAAAGCCGGAAACGGGTTTCATGATTTTGAAGGAATGAAACGCAGCGATTCGCATTCAAATGTCAGTCGGGAGTCGTTCACGGAAGCCAAGTTGCGTTTTCCAATGATGGCGCAATATAAATAAATACCGGATTGTATGCAAAATACGAGCACTGCTTGGGTAGCGTAGGGAAGTTGGGAGTTTTTGGTCGCGAGAGTTCTTGCATTTGCAGGAAGGGGGATAACGGTGTGATTTATCAGCATTTGCTTGTCCTGCGAAGAGAGTCGAAAACGATGTGGCCGGAAACTAGGAAACTGATACTAATATTGTTGCGTCTGCTGACCTCACTGTAAGCTGTGAGGAAGGAAAAGCGTAAAAAGTGCTCGTCGATATAACTTATACCAAACCCTTGACATTTGTGACGTTTGAAGGCTTATTTATTGTTATATTTTTTTCTGCGGCCAAAAAATAAATATTTTAGTAGAAATTCATTAAATTTTTAGGTTAAGAAGCGCAGAAAACACTGCTAAAAGACACGATATTTACTTTGTTTAGGTTATGTATTTTTGGTAGTAATATAATTGACAATTTAGGTACTTTGGGTTGCCTATATAAAAAATTAAGAAAATTCATCAAAATTATAAAAAAAACTTCAATTTCTATAAAATTGTATTGAATATTATTAAATTAGATTTTGTCTTCTATTTTTCATGGTTAACTAGCAAAGTAGCTGTATTATGTGTTGCAAACATTGAAAAACTATATAAAAACTAATCAAAGTAATATAAAACCTTCTCAAAAGCCTAGATGGAATTGAAACGAAGTTGATTATGATTAAATTTTCACTCATTTCTATACAGTATGTTCAAATAATTTAAAAAATGCGTTTTGCTACAAAATTGGTTCCAAGTGAAATTTTATGCAACACATTGTACACGTTGATAAACTGGAAAATTAAACGCCTTTTGCAAATGAAGTTACAATATTCCATTCGCTTTTGTGATGTGCCTTTGCCTCGCATCTCCGCCGTAAACGGCAAAAGACGTCGAAAGTTTGCTGAAAGCTCGCATCTCGAGACGGGCAAGGTCGAAAGTAAATTTTATTTAGTTGGGGCAGCCGCGTAGCCTCGCGTCGGCGAGGCGAAAACATGTACGCGCACGCAACTTTGATCGTGCATCAAATACAAAGTGAAATTTTAATTTAAAATGGAAAGTAAGCAAGACGGATGCGGTTTTCGTTTAATATTAACTTCGTCGTCGACGGCGGCGGGCGGATGACGACAAAAGCATCATCGGTCGCGCAATTATCTCGCGTGCGCCGCCGTAAAATGCCATTTTTAATGGTAAAATGGTGAAAATGGAAAATTCTCCAGCACGGCGTTCGACGCTGAGAGTCATCCTCTAGTCCTGGTCGTGACAAACACACATCTAACAATGAAAGGAACCGTCGACGTCAACACCCACGCCGACGAAATTGTAATGATAATAATACAACGAAAAAAAATAAGCGGGCATAAAAGAACGCAGGACGAAGTGACGGCGACAATGAAATTCAGTGGAAAATGCGCGTTTAAAAAAAAATCAACCTGGCGTGATACGTATCCATAAATCCGTGCGCGTCGCGACGCCATCGTGCTTATTACGCGTTCCACGACTTTTTACAGCCGGGCGCTGCTTATCCGTTTCGTTTCTTATCGAAATAACTCAATTTTCTTTGCGAAAATGCCATTCTAAAGCGTTTACAAAACGACAACGAGCAGCTTCAACGAGGTATTTAATAATCTTAACGCTTAGACAACACATTTTACACGTTACACGTTAACTTGGTTGCATACTCGGTATATTGAACATGAGGTAATTAAAAGCGCTGGATAATGAAACAAAAATTATTCGCATGTAACACAAATAAATAACAAACAACGTGCGGGCGATAAGCGTCGAAATGGCATGCGAATAATAATAAAGCACGCCATCAGCGAACGCGTCCGCTTTCGTCCGTTTAACGCGCCATTTCCTTCCGCTCGCCGGCCATCTTGTTTAGCATGTTTTAGCTTTCTTCGCGCCGTGCGAGTATATAAAGTGCTTATTATCCATCTTTGCATCCTTTTATTCCTGTTTTATTACACACTACTTTTTCATTATGAGTGTAAATCATCGTTTGCACTCAGCGCTGATTGAATCAAAAACTTACCGCCGGCGCGGACTTCCTAGGGAATTTCTAAGGGCTACTTTACGCCGGGGTGCTGCACAAAAGGCTTCCTGCGAGAGTCAGGCCAGCCTCTTCGGCGCGTGTAGTTTTAGCTTAATGCATGCTAATTTATGTTTTATCGTTCGTCACCCTCTTGCCGTTCGACGTTCGCGCACGGCTGAGCAGTGCACAGGGGGCGGCGAATGCAAGTGCAAGTGATAGCAGCTTTGCAGTGCGACGGCGTACGTTTTACGACGACGTTAATTGTCCGTGGATAAGGTACGATAATAGAAGTTCACTTTTAACGCGCGCAGAGAATATCAAAGAGTAATTCGACGTAAATTTTAGCAAAACTAATTTTTATTGAATTTTTGAACATACTGTATATATTTTTGGAAGATGTTTGTATGGGCAAGAAGAAAGCTTGTTAAAGGCAAGCGGTTTGCGCGAATTGCACCCGTGGGTGCGCGTTGATGATCTCCTCGGCTCGAACTAATACGACTTTTTGTTATATTGTTTTTCATTTCTGGTGTTTTTCCGGTGCGTGCCGCCGTCGTATAAAACGTATAAAACGCGCCATCGACGTGCCGGATAAATTGTCTAGTGATTCCCAGATGAGCTCTCCGGCCGGCAGGATCGTCGCCAACTGCCGCACGACTCTTCGTGGCTGAATTACTAAATAGATTAAAAGTCCCCCAATGAATCGCCAACGAAGCTTTGTTTTACTGTGCGCAATCATCACAAAAATCATTGTTATATAGGCAACCAAACATACTTTGAAGTATCCGCCATAAACAAAGGCAATTTGCAGACAATTGTGGAGCGATTACCGTGCACAAAAGGAATGTGAATCACGCCAATCGGACACCCGAAAACCCGTGATAATTTGCATCGCGATAATGCACACACAATCGACTTAATCGCCCCCGCAAACAATCGGGACGCCC